AATAATAATAGTAGTAGTAATAATAATAATAATAATAATAATAACAACAACAATAATAGTAATAGTAATAGTAATAATAATAATAATAATAATAATAATAATAATAGTAATAGTAATAGTAATAGTAATAATAATAATAGTAATAGTAATAGTAATAGTAATAGTAATAGTAATAATAATAATAATAATAATAATAATAATAATAATTGTAATAGTAATAGTAATAGTAATAGTAATAATAATAATAATAATAATAATAAGAATAAAAAAAATAATAATTAAAAAAATCTTCTTCTTCTCAAATGCTCTCAGCGCACGTTAGCTTAACGTGAGCTGAAAGGTGTTCATGGCGAGGGGAAGGGGAAGAGGACGTGGGCGAGGTCGGAAACCATCAGTAAGGGAAGATAGTAGCTCAATTGGAATTCATATGGAAGAAAATGACTCACAGCAGCCGGAACAAGTTCAACAAGATGGAACTAACTATGAAGATGAGCTTACTATAAGTACTAAAGGAGCTAGGAAATTGAGTTTTGAACCTCAAAGTACAAAGGAAATGGAATGTGGAAGCTTAGATCTAAAGGGTTTTGAAGATGAGATCCATGTAGAAGGCAATGGAACAGGATCAAACAGTGCAGAGAGTAAGGATAAGGGGGATCATTTAGAGACTGATCAGGAGCAGAAGAAGCAAACAGATGAACCATGGGTAAATATGTTTAAAAACAATCGAGTTGCAAGTAATGGAATGCAACTATCCTATTTCCCGCCACAGGTAGTTGATGGGCAAGCAGTGGTGCAGCTTGAGGAGAAAGAGATCCAGGAAGAAGAACAAAAGTGGAAGAGTGCTCTCATTGCTTATGTGATAGGTGATTGCCCAGGGTATAACACTATGAAGAGGTACATAATGCTGAACTGGTCAAGTGTGAGTAAGCCAGAATTGTTTCTTCATGAAGATGGGTATTGCCTATCAAGTTTCAGAAGATTAGTGATATGAATGAGATCTTATTCTCAGGGCCTTATACTATTAACAATCGTCCAATAATACTGAAGCAATGGTGTCCTGAGTTTGATTTTGGGAGTGAGTTTCTCACAGAAATTCCACTATGGGTTAACTTCCCAAAACTGCCTTTGAATTGTTGGGGAGTGGGCTCATTGAGCAGGATAGCAAGTGCTATTGGAGTTCCCATATTTGCAGATGAGTGTACTACTAAGCAAACTAGGATCTCGTATGCTAGAATGCTAGTGGAGGTTAATGTTACAAAATCTATACCTCAAAAAATAGCAGTTATGGATCCAAATGGAAAGACATTCCTACAAGATGTAGTGTTGGAATGGAGACCCCAATACTGTGATAAATGTCAGAAGCTAGGACATGTATGTCAATTGGAGGAAGTTTCAAAGGAGGAGGTAACAAAAAAAAGAAGGTCATGGAAGAAAGTAACACAAACATGGCAATACAAAGGGCCAATATCACAGAAGAATAATCAAGAGAAGCAGGGTGAACAAAGACAAGAGAAGAGTCCTAGTCCAAAACTGAATAAGCAGAAGGGAGAACAGGAAGATGAGCAGATCACACAACATGAGTTTGAGCACCAAACTCCTAAAAATAATGAAGAACAAGAGTATAGACAACTGGAGTTAAGCTTGGATAACTTTCCTATACTGAAGCCAATAACAACAAGGAATGGATTTGAGAGCTTGATGAATACTAAAAAAGCTTCACTATCTATTGATAGAGGTGGAGCAACAAAGACTTGTTAATGAAGTGGCTGTTTTGGAATGTGAGGGGAATGAATAAAAGGTATAAGCAGAAGGAGATCAAACTGCTTTTACAGAATAAAGTGAGTCTAGCAGGTTTAGTAGAAACAAGAGTTAAAAGCAATAATGTGAGATCGGTTCTTCAAGGAATTGCACCTGGTTGGAAGGCCCTACACAACTATGATGACAGTCCTAATGGGAGGATATGGCTGATATGGGATGACAATTGGTATGAGGTCAAGAAGATTACCAACTCGGCTCAAATGTTGCATTTTCAGGTCAATGAAAGAAGCAAAGGCTACCAACTCAGCTTAAATGTAGTGTATGGTCTGAATACAGTTGAACAGAGAAAGAGTTTGTGGAAAGAAATGGAAACTCTAGCTAAAGGTATTACTCAACCTTGGCTTATAGTAGGGGATTTTAATGCTATAATGTCTGATAAGGATAGATTAGCTGGGGTGCCTGTTACCAATAATGAGATAAAAGACCTTGGTGAATGTGTGAGAGAAATGGGGGTTAATGAACTACAGTGGACAGGGAACTACTATACCTAGACTAACAAGCAATGTGGGGAGAACAGAATTTCAAGCAGAATAGATAGAGCTTTTGGAAATGATGAATGGATGGACAAATGGGGACATGTAAGTGTAGATTATGGGAATCCTAGCATATCTGATCATAGCTCCATGGTGTTAATTCTTCAACAAACTCCTCAGCATGGGAAGGGGGGATTTAAATTCTTCAATGTTTGGACTGAGCAGGAGAGTTTTATGCACATGGTAGAAAACATATGGAGTAAAGACTATGGCTATAGTAAAATGAAACAGGTGTGGTGTAAGCTGAAAGATCTACAACCTGTCCTTGAGCAATTAAATAGAAAAGAGTTTAAGTATATAGGGAAACAGATTGAGATGGCTAGAATGGAGGTAGCAAATATTCAAACTCAGCTGAGTGTTCAAGTTACTGATGAGCTGATTATGCAGGAGAAAGAGATGTTGATTAAACTTGAAAAATGGTCTTTGATTGAAGAAAGTGCCTTGAGATAGAAGTCAAGGATAAAATGGATACAGTTAGGGGATGCAAATAATAAGTACTTCAGCTCAGTTATTAAAGAGGGAAATCAAAAGAAGCAAATAAGAAGTATCATGTCATTGAAAGGTGAAATGTTGTATGATCCACAAGGTATTCAAGAGGAGTTTGTGATGTTCTATAAGGGACTTATGGGGACCTCAGCAGGTAAGCTACCAGCCATCAATGTACAAGTGATGAAAAGGGTGCCTATATTGACAAAGGAGCAGAGATTACAGTTGTGCACTGCAGTAACTGAACAAGAGATTTATGATGGACTAAAATCCATTGGGAGTGATAAAGCACCAGGGGTGGATGGGTACAATGCCTTCTTCTTTAAGCACACTTGGCAGATCATTAAAGAAGATATCATTGAGGCTGTTAAGAGTTTTTTCATAACTAGTAAGCTTCACAAAGACTTCAATTGTACTCTTGTGTCTCTCATACCAAAAGTTCAGAATCCAAAAACTGTGAAAGAGTATAGACTTATAGCTTGTTGTACTGTGTTGTATAAGATCATATCCAAAGTATTACCCAACAGGCTGCATGGTGTGATACAGAGTGTCATTTGTGATAGTCAGGCAGGATTTATTCCAGGAAGGAAAATTGTTGATAACATAGTGCTAGCACATGAACTGGTTAAGGCTTATACTAGGAAGCATATTTCTCCTAGAAGTATGCTGAAGATTGATTTGCAGAAAGCCTATGATTCAGTGGAATGGGATTATTTGGAGCAAGTTATGTTTGGACTAGGATTTCCAAAGATGTTTGTACAATGGATAATGAAGTGTGTTAAAATAGTGAACTACTCCATAGTAGTGAATGGACAGATTTCTCAGAGTTTTGAAGCAGCAAAAGGGTTGAGACAAGGGGATCCAATGTCACCTTTCTTGTTTGCCATAGCTATGGAGTACCTGAGCAGGCTTCTTAAGGGGCTTAAAGAAGATAAAAAGTTCAAATATCATCCTAAGTGTTCTAAACATGATATCACTCATCTATGTTTTGCAGATGATCTACTATTATTTGCTAGAGGTGATCTAGAATCTATTAAAGCTGTTCAAATGTGTTTTACTCAATTTTCTCAAGCTTCTGGTTTACAAGCAAACTTAAGCAAGAGTTCAATATATTGTGGAGGGGTGCAGCAGGAAGTGAAACAACAAATTGTGCAGCAACTGGGATACAAGATGGAGGAACTTCCTTTTAAGTATTTAGGTGTGCCTTTGTCATCCAAGAAGATGTCAGTTATGCAGTGGTACCCACTCATTGAGAAAATTATGGCTAGAATCAATTCTTGGACAGCTAGGAAGCTATCATATGCAGGTAGAGCTCAGCTAGTTCAGACTGGGTTGTTTGGTGTTCAGGCTTACTGGGCACAATTATTCATCTTTCCAGCTAAGATAGTTAAATTGATAGAAAGCATGTGTAGAAGCTATCTATGGTCTGGAGCAGGACAGATTACCAAGAAGGCATTAATAGCTTGGGAGAGAGTCTGTAGGCCTAGAAGTGAGGGAGGATTGGGATTGATAAACATGCATATCTAGAATAGAGCAGCTATAGCCAAGCTCTGCTGGGACTTAGCAAACAAAGAAGACAAGCTTTGGATAAAGTGGATACATACTTATTACATAAAAGGGGAGAATGTATGGCAGAAGAGAGAACAAGCCAGCTGGATGATTAGGAAAATAATGCAGGCTAAAATCATAGTAGACCAAGTCCAATTAAAAGAAGGAAAAGGGATGGTGAAACAGCTCTATGATTATCTAAGAGGGGAGCAAGCTAAGCCTGAATGGAAAGGTCTAATGTTTAAGAATGCAGCCAGGCCAAAAGCTATCTTCACACTATGGATCTTGCTGAATAGGAAGCTAGCAACAATTCATAGAATAGCTAAATGGGGAGTGGCACATGATCCAATCTGTGTAATGTGTAAAGGTGCTGATGAAAGTTTAGATCATTTGTTCTTACAATGTCACTATGCAGAAGAAGTATGGGAAAGAGTATTAACATGGGCTGGTTTCTTCAACAACAGACCAAGGACTTGGATACAGTTCATGCATTGGAGTATACACAATGGGAAAGGGAAGACAACAAAAGCTCAACTGTTTAAGACAATTATGACTGAAGGTGTCTATGCTATATGGAATGAAAGAAACAAGAGAATTTTTGAAGACAAGAAATGCTTGATAGATGAGGTAGTCAAGAAGATAGCCTATGTTACTACTGCTAAAGCTCCTATTAGTATTAACAATGTCATAAATCATAGGAAGATTTGAAGTAGTTAGTAGTGCTGGTGTTATGGTGATATGTTTTTTTTAGAGTAAGCATGCTGTGATAACTGCTTTGTTTTCTAATGTGTTTTCGGTAATTAATGAAGATTGTTACCAAAAAAAATAAGAATAAAAATAAAAATAATAATAATAATAATAATAAAAATAATAAAAATAATAATAATAATAATAATAAAAATAATAATAATAATAATAAAAATAATAATAATAATAATAATATTAATAATAATAATAATAATAATAATGATAATAATAATAATGATAATACTAATAATAATAATAATAATAATGATAATAATAATAATAATGATAATAATAATAATAATAATGATAATAATAATAATAATAATAGTAATAATAAAATAATAATAATAATAATAATAATAATAATAATAGTAATAAAAATAATAATAATAAAAGTAATAATAATAATAATAATAATAATAGTAATAGTAATAGTAATAGTAATAATAATATTAATAATAATAATAATAATAGTAATAATAATAATAATAATAATAATAGTAATAGTAATAGTAATAGTAATAATAATAATAATAATAATAATAA